GTGATTAGTGTCATGAACAACCTAAAAACACTTTCGGAAGCCATCAAGATTTAAGGATCATTTCCCTCCTTGGGAGTGGCTCCAGGGCTGTTTGCATTTCTGGGGATACTGCCCAATTCCTGCTGAGTTCTGAGGTCAGTTATGCTTAAAGATGCACATGAAAATAGAAATATACTCCATGGTGAGGTCCAAGAAGACCAAATTAAGTCATTGATTAATTTCATCCTGTCCAGTCGCTCCTTCACCCTCTGTAGCTACTTAAAAAAAATAAATGTATTCAGCTTGTCACAAATTTTATTTTATATCTCCACCTAGTAGCATTTCACACTCTGCTTAAGTACTTGGTCATCTATTACATGACTCATTAGTTTGAGTTCTCTGTAGAATTAAAGAACGTTGCAGTAAAAATAATAAATGGAACCTAAGTTTCAACTACATCAGCCATGCATGTTTTAAAAGCATCTTGCAAAGTCAGTTCAAACTCATATACAATGCCAGGGATTAGCACACCATCAACTTCTTTGCTAAACTTTTTTCCTTGCCCCATTACATTGAAGTACTGATGAGTAAAATGGCAAATGTTTCTCTTTACTGGGATTCAAATCAAAGTGTGTAAAACTGGATCAGATAAAGACTTCTTCCCAGGAAAAGTACCCAGGGGCTATCTTATATAAAACTCTATTCAGGGGTACTTCCATTTTTCCTTTAAACACAATTTTTAGCTACCAGTTGTAGTCAGTTTAATGAAGTTAAGGTTTCCTGACTCCATCTCTTAAGAAAAAGTTGAAGTTGCTAACTGCAGAATCTTCCAAAGAGATGTGACAATGTTTCCTGGAGATTTATTTGAACAATTCCATTTACAGATTATGCAAATGCTATGGAGTGCACTATGGGTATACTATCGGGTCAGAAAAATCAGAGGAATAGTTTTAATAGGAAAAGGAAACTGGACTGAAAGTCATTCATCTTCCAAATAAAAATATTTTGTTTTCACTGAATACATGTCATTAGATTGAAAAGCATTTTCCACTATTTCCTACCCTCCTAGAGAAGCCAACAGAGATCATGGATTTTAGCTGAAGGGAAGGCTACCCCGCCTCCCACCCCAGCTCATGGGTTTTGGAGTCAGGTAGACCTGGTTTGAATTCCAGTGTTATCTGTAAACTGTCTGACCCTAGATAAATTTCTTAAGGTATGTGAGCCTCTATCTCCTCATCTTTACAATGGGGATAATACTATTTACCTCGTGAATTGTGAAGATTAGAGATACCCTGTGTAAAATATCGAACACAGTGTACAGCACACAGTAGACACTAAGTAAGTTAGAGCTATGGTTATTTTAATACATTAGAGCTGGGAGGGAGATCATCCCAAGCCCTTCAGTTTACAACTGAGCAATCTCAGGACCCAGTGTGTATATGACTAGTCCAATGTAACAAAACTAGTCAATGGCATCATTAAGTCTATTTCAGCGTTCAGGGAGGTACGGTGACTTTCCAAGAAACAGTGGCATTACATGGATGGAACACGAAAGCCTAGGCTCCCTAACCCAATATTCATCACAATTTGCTGCCATTTCTCAAAAAAAAAAAAAAAATCCCATGGCTTCTGACCTTTTTTTTTTTTCTGACCTTTTGCTGACTGGTTTTAATCCCATTTGATAATTTATTCCAATGTTAGGACAAATGATCTGAAAAGCAAATTTTATTTCATCCTATTTTTAGAATAGATTCAGAAAATAAATTAGCTGTCTTGCAGATTAACATTTATTTGACTTACCTTGCATAATTAAGGACATGCTGGAGAGCCTGCCTGTAATTGCAATATGTTGCTTGTTAAAGTCTTAGAGCGAGCTCTCTTTCCTAACCTAGAAATGATACTCCCTAGATGTACATTTCCATTTTCTACTGATCTACAGCTTTTCTTTATTAGCTTCTAGGTGGAGAGAAAAATCAAACCTCTCCTTCAAGAAATCCATTAAACATTTGCTGTCTTCTAAGGGGGAGGGATGAAGGAGCTGATGTTCATGGTGGCTGTAAAGCCAAAAAACAAACAAATTGGGCTTTCTTGAGAGATAAAGAACCTGCAGGAGAACCTCAAAGACATAATTAGCAATTAGCAATACTCTCCTCTCAATATGCCCACCGTGCCCTAATGACTTCCTGCATATTTCCTTCCTCTACGGAAGTCTACGAAATTGCCCTGCAGCATTCCATATAATGAGAACCTCACTTCTGATTCACTGCCAAGGGTAAGTGCTGTCTAGATTCAGCGTGGAGATAGGTGCCCTAGCTAGGCACCTCAGTGTTCTGACCAGCATTTTCAGATCAACCGATGTCTGGACATAGGTTCTGCCATCTGAGTGATTTCGAAGATCACTAACAGGGTCCTCAAACACTGTGAATATGGTTGAAGGAGGTGTGATGGACACTTAGTGTGAGTCACACATTCCCTCCCTTTAAACATCCTCATTCACTCACTGGATCAGAGCAGATGTTGCCAACAGCAGCTTTAGTACATTATGTGAAAGCTGTCTTGGATGGATTAGACATTCAGCTGTCTGAAGACTGGGCCAGCTGTTCTTAGGGCCCCTTACTGCTTTGGGATGAATAGTGTACCAGATTACTGTAAAAGCCACGCTCAGATAGAAGGTTGCGTAAGTCAAGCCAAAGGAAAATGCGCTACTAGCTATGACAAGAAGAAAAACTTAGTTTAATGTTAACTTTAATAGATATATAAACTTTGACACTCTCATTACTGACGTTTCCAGAGTTCATGTAAACCCTGCTCATCAGGACTCTATTATTGCTGCTTTCCAAGCCAAAAAAAAGCGCAGAGCTGCAGTGAACCAATTATTTGCTTTATTTGGAAAAGCTGACATTCATCCTGTGTGGCAGGTTGAATGTGGTAGGTGAGATGAGTGGTTTTCACACCAGCAGCAACTCAGGAGGGTGTCAATTTCAGGCACAATACAAGCTTGATTCCTCCCTATTTCTCATGCAGAAATCCTTATAATACCTGTAAGCGTTTTAAACCTGTGTAAAAGGTGGGACCCAGCCTGACGTATTTCCTTGAAAGATGAGCTGATTATATGTTGCACCCGAGTTATGCATTCACTCATCAAATATTTATTGCAGACCTACTATGTGTAAGGATGGAGCACAGGTACAAGAGGAAAAAAGAAACATTCCCAAACACTTTACCATGATACTTATGGGTGGGGACGCTTATGTTCCCTTAGGGAAAAAAGGTCATCCCCTTTAAGTGCCATTGAAATTCCTCTTAGGAATACTTGGGTATGGATAAGAGTTACCTAATTGGTCAATTACATAAGAAGCATGTGTAGTGGATCTCACACTGTGCAAGATATTGCTGAGGAGGTGGGGAAGAGTCAAAAGAAATATTAGATATAGTTTCTCATCTCAAGCAGCTCACTTTGGTAATAAAAAACACTCCATTCATGAAAGGACTGGAAAGTAAAAGAAGGCAAAATATAATCAGGTGCTAATTGGGTAGTGGAGACACTCTTAAAGAAATTCAGATTTAATGGGCTGGGTTAGCCAGAGGGGCTTTATGAAAGACACATGCCTTGAGTATGGCGTTGAAGAAAGGGACGGCTTTAAACTCCGACTGTAGTTGAAATTTAATCCCCATACGGCAAATGTCAAATAGCTAAAGAGTAACCTCTTAATATTTGAAATAGTAAGTTGACCATCTAACAAATTAAACACATTGACCTCACTATATTTTTCGGCATGGAAAGGTGTTCATAATACATTACGTATGAAAAGCAGATTACAGAACAGCATTCTATAATACGATTCCATTATTAGAGAATAAAATATATGATATGCATAGAAAAAAGTCTAGAAGGATATACACTAAAATGTTAACAGTGGCTTTCTAGATGTGGTAGGATTATGCGTGACCTCAATTAAAAACATTTTTTGTGTTCTCTCTTTTCTAATTTTTCTGCAACAATTGTGTATTATTTGTGTAATAGTTAAAAAGAAAAAACACATTGGGTTCTTAAAACCCACTACAATGAATACTTCATAAAACCTGCTGAAATAAAAGCACACATACACACAACATCTTGGAGAAGGAACAGAGAAGAATGATTAAATAATTAAGGAGATAGGGTGGATGATATATGACGACAGACTTAAAAGTTGACTATCCTTCAGCTTAGTGGCCTAAGATGGGAATATGATCCAAGTCTATAAAATCATGAAGCTGACTGGGAGAACACGTTTATTTACAAATCCCAGGCAACAGAATTGAGGGTTGGCCCTTTAAGGTTGAGAAGCTGAATTTAGAAAAAATAACAGTAAGGCTGAGCTCTCACAGAAGGCCAAAAAAAAAAAAAAAAAAAAAAAAAAGGAAAATGTTAAAATAGGGGGGAAAAAAAAAAAAAAAAAAAAAAAAATGGAATTTGTTATACTAGGGGTGATATAAATTGAAAATATAAATAGCTTCAAGAATGATTTAGATAAATTAATGGAAGATAGGTTCATTAAAGGTTGGTTGTTAAGGAAAAGCCAGGAGTGTCTAAAGTCTGTGAGATACTCAATATATTTGAAAGTGGTAGAAGGTGGCACAGACCTGATCCCCAAACCAGTGCAGGCCACAGTGCTAAAGCCTTCCTCCTGGAGGCTCCCTGCTGGCCAGGAGTTAACCCTTTAGTTGTTGGACTATTGGGAGTTTCCAGGAAGGAGATCATGGGGAGAGGCTGGGGTGTCCGGGAGGCAGAGGGTTCTGGGCAATAACTATTTATCAACCAGAAAAGAAGCATTCCAATATTTTAATAACAGTTATGACTATACTAATGCATATTGGCTAAAAATTAGTCCTGGGCGTGCCTATCTTCCGAGATAGACTTCAGAGATGATGTCTGTCAGAGGTACATTGGGACGGATGGACTACAGTGTGATAACAATCTTAGGATTCTGCCAAGTCAAATGAAACGTTTAGATAACCAAAGGATTTTTTATTTTTACCTCGAGGGCTGTTCAGTGAAGCTTCCGATGCTCTCCCTCCATCTCCACAGTGACTCTGGTCAAAGGGAAGGCACTGATCTCCTGTTCCTGCCACCACTTCAAAATTCTTGGACAAGTCTTTTGTTTCCACAAGAGATTTCAACTTGTAGACTTTTCGGGTATTGGTGTCTGATAGATAAAGTGATTCAGACACAGGGTCCATAGCCAGATAGTATTTGTGAGCAGGACTTGTGCTAAGGAAGAGAAAAGTAAAGTTATTCAAAGCAATTTGTTCAGCATACACTCCCTGGGGTCTGCCTTTTGTCACAAATGGAAAATTCTCTTAAGAGATAAAAGAATTAATGTATCTTCCTTATGTACCGAGCCGATAGGTACCTCTTTGTTTTTCTAGTAATGGGTCTGGGATTAAAAAATAATTCAGTGCGTACTGCTAACCTGTAATGTTCCTGATATTCCAATACCGTCCATTTGGGGGTAGAGAAAGAAGCAGAAGATAGAAAATCCCAGGAGATCCTTTTTCTCATACATACCTTTCATACCCCCCTCAGTTCTCCAATTACCTACTAGATGACTGCCTGGATGTCTAAGTCACCTCAAACTCAACAAATCCAAAACAGAAGTTATTCTCTTCCTGCCTTCCCCATCCTTCAAAAACCTACTTCTTGTCTTCTGGGCTTCCTGCCTCACTTGCAGTCACTACTGTCCTCCCAGGGTGCTGCTGGAAATTGAAAGGCATGTACAAAAAGTGAGGAGTGTGTCTTAGGGAGGGCTGTGCTGGAGATACTCTTCCACTCCAAGCTTCCTTTTGTTAGCTGGCCACCGTACTTCTCTAATACACTTTTTCTTTTTCAGGACATAACAGAAGTGATCATATTTGACCTTGTCTTGGTTATAATTAAAATCATCCATACCTCCAAAAGGTGACATTCAAGTTACCTTGATCGGATTTTGGTATTCCTGAAACTCTTCAGTTCCATATTTTACATAGGATCTTGTGTTATTTTTATCTGCATACATGGCTGAGCTCATTCATTAGTTTTGACTATTCCTAATATCATTTTTCCAATAGCTGCAGGAACTTTGGTTTGGGGGACATTCTGCTTGAACTTAAGGTTCCTGTACTGCTGATATCATCCAAGCTCCCAACATGGAAGTCTAACCCTTACTCTCCCCTTTTCTCTCCACATTGTGCCTAATTGTGCCTGAAAACAAGCTTTCAGAAGCTTTGTCCCTCCTGCCATCACATTAGTTCTAACTCTTATCATCTGTGGCCTGGAATATTTTCTATAGTCCTGCCCATAGGAGGTGTTTTTGAAATCTTAAATCCATTTTTCCCCCATACTGACTCCAGGGTTATTCTGATCATTTGGTTCCCATCTTTAAAAACTGTACAAACTTTTAAATGTTCCTTAGTGTGGTGCACATTCCTTTCTTCACTTAGTAATTAATTCTCTTTAACCTTTTAAGGCTTTACTCAGGCATCATCTTCTGAAGAAAGCCTTCCGGAAATGTCTAGGCTCGGTTATTTGCACTATGCTTACCTCTATTCTCGGGGATCACACATCATATTACTTTTTTAAAAATGTATTGGTATGCCCCAGTAAACCATGAGAGCTTGGAGGAGAGTAATCTTGTCTTATCTCTAACGTGCTCACTGCACAGCACTCTGCCTCACACCCAATGGTCTAAGCCAGAAACCAGAAGCCATTCTTTACTGCTCCTTCTTTCCGCCATTCCCCATATCCAGTAAAACATCATTAAAAAAAAATTCTACCTCCTAAACTCTTTTCTAATCTGCCCACTTCTCTTTATCTCCACCGTCATTAGTCCTGACATCTCTCAGCTGCACTCCTTGCTTGGTAATACCATTTCTGTATTGTGGATTTATTCAAGTCATTCAGAAGTATTTACTAAGTGCAAACAATGTGCCAAGGAACTGTGCTATGGTCTGGAGACCTACCTGTGTGCCCAATACAGCCCCTTGCTGCATGGAACTCACAGTCTAGTGGGGGAGTCAGATCAGTAAATAGGCTATGACTGTCATAAATCCAAGTGTTACAACAGAAGAAGAAAGGGAGAGAAATGAGCAGATAGGAGGGACACGTGACCTAGCAGCAGCTATCACATTGTATTAGCATTATTGTTTTAAATTATGAAGTCCATACTTTACTCCTATTTCCTTAGTTTTTAATTAATATCCTTTTTCTGTTTCAGGATTCCACCTAGGATACCAAGTTATATTTAGTCTTCGTCTCCTTAGGCTCCCCTGGGCTGTGACAGTTTCTTAGACTTCCCTTGTTTTTGATGACCCTGATAGTTTTAAGGAGTACAGGTCAGATATTGTGTAGGATGCCCCCACGGCAACGTAGTCTGATTTTTCTTTTTTCTCATAGTTAGACAGCGACTACAGGTTTCGGGGAGGAAGACCACAAGGGTAAAGTGCCATTCTCATCAAATCAAATCAAGGGTAGTAATATCAACATGACTTACTGTTGATGTTGACCTCGATCGCCTGGCTGAGGTAGCGTTTGTCAAGTTTCTCCTCTGCAAATTTACTTTCTCTCTTACTTTCCACATTGTATTCTTTGGAAGGAAGTCATTCTGCCAAGGCAACACTTAAGGAGTAGGGAGCTATACTCCACCTCCTTGAGGGTCGAGTAGCTACATAAATTATTTGGAGTTCTTCTGCATGAGAACCTTATCTTTTCTCCTCCATTTATTTATGAACTCAACCATTTATTTATATCAGTATGGACTCATGGATATTTGCTTTATACTTTGCATTAAACTCTAATGTGACTTTATTTTGTTGCTCAAATTGTTCCAGCTTTAGCCATTGGGAGCTCTTTCTGTGGGCTTATGTGCCCCTCATAAACCCCCATCAATGTTGGTGCGTTTTGGTTTTTTTTTGAGCACTTCCTTACTTTCTGGAAGTACAAGATGTTGCAGGCTCATCTTGTATAATCCCTGCTCCAGGACTGGAACGAATCATTTCTCCAAGGACCCCTGGTTCCTTTCATTGAAGAATGGTATTAGAAACTGAGATCTGAGTGCTGGGTGTAAGCACTATTTTTTCCACATCTCTCTCTCTCCAGACACACTGTGAACTCTTTGCAGGCAAGAACATTATTCCGCTCTCTACCTCAGTGCCAACAGAGGGTCTGACAGGGTTGATGTTCAGGAAGTGCTGAACTAAACTGTAGGACATGAAACTAACTAAGACATAGAGGAGTTCGGGCCTTGGCTACTTAGCCAAGCAAAATGGAGGGGAGAAGGTCATTAGAATAATTAAGATACTCTTAAGGACTGGCATGTTCCTGATTGTATTTGTAATTGCATTTGCCCTCTAAGCATATTTATATTAATGATAGTAAGGCTGGCAAATACTGATTTGAGACCCAGTTTACGGTTTTAATTGGAAAAAAATCAAATCCAATCGGAATACTTGATTTTTTTCTACTTACCTTCATCAAATAAGAGAATCCGGTAGATTCCAGGGACATCTTCAACCCTGGAACCACCATGACAGCTGCTGTAAATAAACTGTAAAGGGTCCCAACAGATTCCAGAATTGATTTGGCAGTCATATCAGACAAAGCATCTCTGTAGCAAAGACTGCTTAAATAGGGGTTTGAGTAAAAGTTTTGACATATTTACTTGCACTTTTTGCCTTCAGAATAAAATTTTTCCAGTGCCCTTAGATCTTTCTAGAATACAGAAGGGGTCACAACCCTTCCCTGAAATAACCTTCAATACTTTGGTAGCCAGTCTGTGGAAGTTTCAACTGAGCCAGATCAATCATGTTTTGTTTAGGAGAAGTCCATAGGCTATTTTTCCAAGAGAAATGTTATTTGCACAAAAGCACTTTGGAATGCATTCCTTTCATTTACTATTGAATATCCCCTATGTGCCTGTGAGGGAAGTTGGAATTATCATTCTTCTCAAACCTCAGCTGGGGAAACCCAGACACGTAGAAGGCTCGCCCAAGGTCACCAACAAGCCTGTGCTTGGACTAATATTAGATTAGATCATATGTGACTGTGTATGCAAAATAAATACCTACAAGAATAGTCTTGTTCTGAAAGTGGCAAAAAAAAAAAAAAAAAAATCAGCGTTACTGTCTTCTTCTAACTATGTTGCTCAGCGAGGCTGTTCTCAAACTTTGCACACTGGCCTTTAGAAAATAGAACAGCCCAACGCACCAAATTCAAATCTGATGGTTATTTTCTTGACAGCCAACAGTCAGGAAGGTCTTCTATATTGAGATGCAATTTCTTGCCATTTCATGCCATTTCCCAAGTGCACGTCAGCTCTTTTGAGATTGTTTCTTTCTACTTTGTGGAAACATGCCAAACCTGAGAAAGAAAAACCACTGGACTACATTCCAATTTGTTCTAATCCCTTGTGTCTAAACGCGTATTGCAATTTGAGATACGTGAAGATTTCTCTTACAACTTCAGTGTTGTTACACTTATTGTCACCTTCTGGTTCGTTTTATATTCAAGCAATGCCCTTCAACTTAGCAAAGATCCCTTCATTCATGCTAGTTAAAATCACACAGATTGTTAAATGGGCAATTAATGCTTATAATTAATACTGGGCAACATTTTACCAGAAAGCAATTTGATAACCAATTTAATTTGCTTAAGGAATCAGTTATGCCAAAGTAGAAAGGCTGATCTTGTGCACTGGTATTTAGGAAGTGGCATCTCCCAAACAAAATCCAAATTACAAACCCTACCAGCGCCATTTTGATGACAATTGGCATTTGAAAGTGAACAAATTCAATTTTCTCCTTTGCAATTTCAGGTAATTTAGAACAGTTTTGACAAGTGTAATGCATAAACAAATTGAATACAAATACTCATTATGACTAATTTCAGAGTTATGTGCCCTTGTCAGTAAATGGTCAGTTTAAAGTTTATTATTTTTTTGGTGGGATAAAATAGAAACCATGAGGTCACATAAGAGGAAAATGGAAAAATCTTATTCAAGAAGGTCATCATGGGCACTCTCTCTTAATACACACGTCAACTACATTCCTGGAAGCAGGAAGATTGCTGTGCTACCTCTCTCTCTACCTGCAACTTGAAAACATCGAATCTATTTGAACTTACAGACTCACTTGTGATATCACCTAAGGAAAACATAAGCCTGAAAGTTTTGCTTTCCCATGAAGTACTGAACGGCCAGCTTCCACTTATCTTGTTTTCTTTTTGGTATATTTTGATCCTCCAGCAAATTCCCACTTAGTGGAGCTCTCTCCTTTTGGAAGACACTTACCTGAGTTATAACTTCCAAGTTCACGTTCACATTATGCCTTTAACCTTACTTAAGAAGTTTCCCTGTTAGCGCATTATTAGGAGGTGGCGTCTTAGGCAAGAAGGGGCATTAGGTAGCCACCCATGTGATTTGCTTACCTATGTCTGGTATCTCTGTTTCTAGGGTGCACAAGGTATCCACGAGTGGCAAGTAAAAGCAAACAGAGAGTCATCAGTGTCATTCAACAAGCCAAACCTAACCAGACACACCCGTTCAATTCCTAACTCAGCTTGTGGCTATTAGAGGGACTCCACAGGGATCACTTAGATGTGCAAGCCAATCCCTCCAGATGTGGACCCAATCCCTCCAGGCTGCTCCTCCTAAAATGGTGTCAAGGTGACTGAATATCCTGCTTGGTGGGTGGGCAAAGCTCTAAGGCAGTTTTTTCAAAAAGTTCACTCGGGACCGTTTTCATTGGAATCGGTTGGGTTCTTGCCACATACGCAGTTTCCTGGGGCTCTCCCCAGTCATATGAATCAGGACCTTGAAGTGGGAGTGGAATTCCCAGGAATTCCATTTTGAACGAACTCAGGTGGTGATTCTGAGGCAGAATAAGGTTTAAGAACCACTAGGCTAGGTTTTGAAGAAGCAGCCACTGCAAAGGGTCTGACTGTTCTAGGCTCTATTTTGTTTTTCTGTTTTTTTGAATTTTATTTTATTTATTTTTTAATACAGCAGGTTCTTATTAGTTATTTTGAAAGCCACTTTATCAAAATGCAAACTCTTTCATTATCAAGTCTTGCGTGCAACAGACATCCCAAACCCAACTTTAAGCCACTTATGTGATTGCAGAGATAAGACAGGGACATGTCTTGTGAACATTAGCACATTATTTAGCAATATTAAACAATTTAACAAATTGAAAGTATAAAAGTTTTCTCTTCGACCATGATAGAATGTCCCTGGCATCAAAACTGCTGCCTCAAAATAGCTTCAATAAAACACCATTTACATCAAACTCCTAGGGCCTTGTGTTGTCCAGTTATCCATGCACCAAGGGGGCAACCGGGGTGGGCAAAACAGAACTATGTCAGAAGCAGCAGAACGCTTTGGGGAGCCCCTGATCTGTAAGCCTCTTGGCACAGGGCACTGCCTAGGCTATTTCACTCTGCGACCTGGTATGGGTCTTCTCACCCCGGGAGCACAGTCCGTGGACAGGACTGACTTTGGGTCAAATCTACCCAGAATTAAAAGGCTATAATCATCTGTGAAATATAGTCATTTAAATTTTAAAATCCTTTTAAACCTGGCCCTTATGTCATTTTGAAAAATATGAAGATAACAAATCTTTTTATCTAAACTAGAAAATGTTCTTATTCTTTGGAACATCAGGAAAGAAGAAAAGATACAAAATGATTTCTTTTGAAGCCATCTGCAACTACTGATTCAAGTCTTTTTAAAGAGAATCTTTCTGGGATTTTACTAGTTGGGTTATGGTGAGGACCCACTGACTTTTCTGTTTCATGGGGCCACCTCAAAAGGGTGGGTATCCCCTGGGTTGACACAAAAGATCAAAAGGTAAGAGTGGGGAGATGTGATTAGAAATCTGGCCCCAGACATTTGAACCTCTTTGAGTTTTTTTGTCTTCAGACACTTGCTTGTTTTCATGGTCTCTAAATTACAGGCTGAGTGTGCTTGAGGCTGGCTCTAATCACCATTACAGGGTTGATCTTCCTGAAGGAAGCTGAGTTGTAAAAATACTAAAAGGATCTCATTAAAGCATGGTTTCGTCTACCACAGAGTCTCATGGTACAGAACCATTTGTGTGGCTACAAAGGGTTCTGAAATTCTTAGGTGATGGCAAGGTGTGGGGAGGGGGATGGTCTGAGTTTCTTGCAGCTTCTTCTGATCCTGCCAATAATGTCACTGTGAATTTGGAAAGATGTCCCATATTATGCAGAACAGCTTCTCTCGTTAGCATCTCAGAGGGAGGAAGTGAAAATGACGGAATTTATTTCCAGTGTGTGACCTTGTTCTGTCCCAGAATTACTTTAACTGTTAAAGATTTAGGATTGAGCTACCACCAAAGTCGGTCTGCTGTCTAGCTGGCAATGGACTGCATGCTGAGGTGTCAGCGTGTGAGCGCTTCACAAGTGCCTGGGCCCATCAGCGGGCATCACCACCTGGCAACTGACTGACTTGAAGCTTGCGGTGAGTTCGGAGAAAGGAGTGGAATGGCGAATCTTTTTAGAGCAATAAATGCTCCTGATGGTAGGACCTTTAAGTAGATCTTTGATTTTGTTCAGGACCTACATGATTAAAAGGGTTGTCTATTCTTTTTTAATTAAAAACTTTTTATTGAGATATAATTCACAAACCATAAAATTCACGCTTCTAAAAAGTGCAATTCAGCAGTTTCCAGTACATTCATAGAGTTGTGCAACCATCACTATCACTGAATTCCAGAACATTTTCATCATCCCATGAGGAAACCCCGTGCCCATCAGCAGTCGTTCCCCATTTCCCCGGCTCCCCCAGCCCCAGGCAACCATTAATCTGCTTTCTGCCTCTATGGATTTGCTTCTTCTGGACATTTCGTATGAACAGAATCATATAATACGTATCCTTTTGCGTCTGGTTTCTTTCACTTAGCATCACTTCTGACCTATTCTTCATATATTCAGTGAGGTGGGGGATGGAGAAAAAAGGGACGTGCCACCTTCGGAGGTGCTGTCTCGCGACCAGTCGTGGCCTGCTCTGTGTTGGTTGCAGCACTTTGCTTGTTCTTCATGCTGTTTTCAGCTTCTTCCCTCATATGTAGCCAGAAATATCTGAAGTCAAAGAACGAACTTCCCTGCCTGCTCATCGTCCCATGGTAGTCTTCCTTTGAAGACCGAGTTCCCACTCCTGCCACTCGTTGACTTCTTAGATCTTCCAACTTCAGCAAACCCTCATCTAAGACTGTCCTCATTCTCTGGCTCTGTCCCTTGGCCTTATCTCAACTTACCTGTCTTGTGTTTAGGGTCCTGCTTTCAGTTAGCAGTTCGTTTGAAAAGCAGTCTCACAAACGAATCCATGCCCAGGGATTAATGATGACTTTAGCTTGATGGGTCATTCTAACACAGGTTCCTGTGTTGGGGACTCTTGGAGAGGCAATGTCTCAACTCAGAGGAACACATTTCTTAGAGTGGAAATTGGGGCACTGTGGAAGGCCAGCGAAGATGTTTTGGGGTGACGTAAAGGGAGCCTTTGAGTGTCAATGTTAATACGTGAGATTACACTGGGAAGGTAACCACCTATTTCATCTACGTGCAGTTTGTTTCTGTCTTTGTAGCTCCAGCGCTGCTGACAAGAGGAAGGTTCTTGGTCACTTCTCAGATATTTTCAAAGCCCTCACAGTCCACATTCCATATGCCCCTCAGCATGCTAACTGCCCCTAAATGGGTGCTATTCCAGTTCTACTCAATACCTAGTCAATGACAGGAGTTGAGTCCTGAGAACAATGTAGGAAATATTCACCAGTCACTGTAAAAGAAACAGTAACATCTCAAGAGAAATTTTCATGTCACATTGACATTTGTCAAGTCCAAATTACTCAAGGTACCAAGAAGCATCTGCCAGGCTCTTACTGTTTTTTCTTTCTTTCATTTTTAATGAAAGGACAAAATAAATATCTGGAGAATAACAGCATCTTGAAGAATAACAGCATGAGGTTTTTATAAAGAATAAGTCATTTCCAGTTATGCTTAATAAGTTTTCTAATAGATTCATGAAATTAGAAGATGAGAGGGGAGCAAGAGGATATTCATACTTAAATTCTTGCAAAGCACTTGACATGGTGTCTCCTGTTTTTACTTATATAACTATCCATGTAAGTTTTAGAAAACTGAAAAATGACCCTGAGGCCATAATCAAAGGAAGAGGAAACAGAGCCATTAATTGATGAGAAATAGTTGAAGGACTTGGGGATGTAGAAAATGAAGAAGAGAAAGCTCAGGAACCTATGGTAATCTGTCTTTACACTTGTGAAAGTTTCTCAGGTAAACAAGGGAAGTGGCTTCTGTGCTTCAGATGTTAACATTTGCCACTACTGAGTGGATGTTTCATGAAGACAATATAAGGAAGAATTTTCAACAGAGCATTCCAAAGATGCAGTGGACTGTCTAGAGAGATACGTAAGTTTTCTGTTATTGAAAAGGATCAAACAAAGTAGAGATGATCAACCGTCAGGGATGCAGTGGGCACTACGTTGTACCAGATACCTCCATGGACTCCTTCTATCGCTAAGCTCACAAATCTGTGATATCACTTTTGCGTTACTGAAATATGTGTGTGTGTTTAAAATTTTAACACGAGAAGCAAGTCACTAGGGATACCTAGGCCTAAACTATCTCATATGGAAATAAATCTATCTTAAAAAAAAATCTTCACAGAATGTATTTTTGAGACTCCCTTGGGTTTAATCGCATGATCTTATAAGCTTCCCTTCTTTATTATTTTATCTCAATTTCTCACTGGAAGGAAGCACTAAGATGTATATGTGCAGATGACATCTGCAGTAAACAGGCAAAGGGATACTATATACTTAAATAACAAGAAATAATATTGTTGTTCTTGGCATGTTGCTAATAATAATCACATAACTGACTTTTCCTTACCCTCCCCATTCAGCCAATGGGGGATCAGCTTGAGGAAATAAATGATCATCCAACAATGAAAATGAAATTATTTTTGAGGTCAGATGAAAGAAACTCAATTGGGGACAGTTTGGATCGGTAGAGCTGAGAGGAAAAATCTATAGTCTTCTAATCTTTGAAATGTCAAGGGGCATCTGGAATTGTTCAATGTGGCCCAAAATGGAACAAGAGGATGAAAGAGAAGGAAATCTAGAAGGGCAACCAGTAGGAGCAAGCTTTATGTCCTCTCAAAATGTCATCAAACTCTGGGCTGAGAAGTACACATCTGTGGATCTTAAAACAAGTTAAACCGTATCAGACATGTAAGAGGATGCTCAAATATTAACGTGAAGCCAATTTTATAGATAGAAAAGTAGAAAACAGAGTAGTTAAGTTATATAATGAATAACCTGACAGAGAGTGAAGATCTAGAATGTTCTGTATCCCTTTCTGTAACAACTTGTTGACGATATTGCTCTTTCATTCACAGCTTTAAATGCAACTAATAACATAATGACTATATATAGTCTGTGTTTCCAAGGAAACAGATGACTCAACCAAATAAAATGACTAATATGCACTGGAGGGGGGGTAATTACATTAACTGATTTTAACATCAACCAAAAACTGGTACAAAATGAAGTTTCTGTCTATCTACAGTAGAATTCAATGAACATTATGGTTGTTAAGCTAGCAAAGCCCCTTATATCAACTTATTTCTCCCCAGGAAGTTTAAGCCTGGAAAAGTTACAAAGCAAATATAAAAATTCACCAATTGTATGTGAAAGATGCAATGTGTACAGTATAGGCTACCGATCAGGATAGATACTTTTTTTAAAAAAGTGAATCTAATAAGAGCTATATTAGTTTCTGAGTAAACATGACAGATAATGTTTGCTGTCACAGACTGGGTGGATGGTATTGACTGCAGTCAAATAGGGAGTTACCTGTTAATTAGGTCAAAATGATCATATATATATATATATTCAATCAGCTTATTCCTCCGATGGCCAGTCAGAGGAGTGTCGGAGTAGAGAAGGAAGAACTATTTTTTTCTTCTTGAACCTAATGCAGGGAATCTTAACCATGAGTCTATGAAAGGGCTTCATCCACAGGAGGGGGGAATGTGGGGAGAGGGAAAATATGTGACCCCTGAATTTTTTGTGAATGTTTTTTTCTGGGGAGAAGGCACGTAACATACAATAGATTCTCAAAAAAATCTGAGAATTTTACAAAAGAATGTTAGGGGGCTTCCCTGGTGGCGCAGTGGTTGAGAGTCGCCCTGCCGATGCAGGGGACGAGGGTTCGTGCCCCGGTCCGGGAAGATCCCACATGCCGCGGAGCGGCTGGGCCCGTGAGCCATGGCCGCTGAGCCTGTGCGTCTGGAGCCTGTGCTCCGCAACGGGAGAGGCCACAACAGTGAGAGGCCCGCGTACAGAAAAAAAGAATGTTAGGAAGAATTGCTCTACAGGAAGTCAGCTCAGAAGAGTCAGCTAGGGAGACTCAGGCTAAGTGAGAGCCTGGGTGTATGAGCTCATGGTGTGCACTCGCCTATGCATTTGAAGAGCTGTGACAGTGAGAGAGAGCAGTGTTTTGGAGTAAGAAGGAATAGAGGGATTGGAAAATACTTCACGCCATCAGAAATGAATTTTCCTTTATACTGAGAAAATCACTGCAATTAGGGTCCAAGTTATTCTACTTTAGTCTTCAAATGACTTTGTGTTGAAGGTCATAAGGTACTTTGGACTAAAATTCAAATTTGTGAACTGTTAAGGATCCTTGACGAGGGAGAATCTCCTTGATGAATGACAATTGCTCCACCTTAGGTAAATTTGCATTTAAATTACAACGGAAGGGACTAAATTTAGCTGGGTTTTCTTTTTTGTTTTTATAGATAATCCTATGGTTTTTTCCTCTGAGGAGTTAGCTATATAGGGGCTAGCTATATAGGTTTTATAGGGTTGGCTATATAGGGTCAGCAAGACAAGGTCTCTGTCTACCCGATGGTCAAGATCTGCATGCCTGGAAATATTCAGATGGTGAATGAATTGTTCAGTGCTCCACCCATGTTCGGCATCAGGTGGACAGAACTTCCCTAGGATTTTGAAAACAACATAGAATGTTGTATAAAACATTTGCAAATCCAGGCATACAGCCATCTTGGCCTTCCTTATTGACTTTCCAGTAAGTAGGTACCCAAAGGGATATAGTGCTTGTAATGACAAATCCTGGTGAGGTATGACGTCCCGAGGTACATGAACATTTGATTAGGGCAGGGTGCTATGAATTAGTACCTCTCTAGACTCTGTAGATGTGCTTTATCTTTATAAAATCTTAATTTTACAATCTATTTTTTTATCAGTCAAGGGATTTAACAGCTTTGTTCTCTATGACAGCGTTTGCAATTATAATTAAGAAATGTATTAAAACTGGAGTGAATTAATGTGAAAAATGGATGGGGGCTTGGGACTAGAAGATTTCCCCAGCTAGCTATGAAAGACTAACTCAGTCTGAGAAACGGGAGGTAGATTCCAAAGCAAAGCACGAGAATCTGAAAAATTTCGAGGACTGTCCTTATGTATTCAAATTTCCACGTTTGTGTCAACATGAGTATTAAATGAAAATGACCCAAGATTTTGCATGTGCTTTCACTGGTCTTGACTGTGCTTCCATACATACAAGTTGTTCCATCATTGTCTCTATTCTCCCAGTCACTACTTTTCAGGTCAATGAGGTGATGAATGAGGCAAGAACTGTTTTGTGGAATAGTTTATAGAGTGGCGCCAAAGTCTTCTGGAACATAGGGAAATTTTCAGCCTAATGCCCTGAAGGCATGTGTCAGGGATAAAGCTGTGATAACCAATGAGAAGAAAGGCTCTACCAGTTTACCCAGGGAAAGGGAAACAGGTCTGTTTATCTCTACTGGGATGAGAGAGGATGTTTTCCTTTTCTAGGACTCCAGGGGACATATATTTGGTCTTATATCCTTAGAAAGGGAGAAATAAAGCTGATTAAGCCATGGTCTATTTACTTGCTATCTTTGTGTAACTTCAAAATATGAAATACCAAAAGGTATGAATTCCTTTCAAAAGGTGCCAAAATACTTTGTACTCTCAAGAAAATTCCTAAAACAGAGGAAGAAAGCCTAAAGATGAATGCTTTAATCATTTTTTCCAATGGATTAGAGCTTTTAAGGATAAAAAAGTAATCCTTCCTCAAAATGTCACACAAACACAGACGGCAATTTTCCTTTTGATGAACTGATCACTTCAAAAGACTGGACCTGGAGAACTTA